TGTGCCACAGTTAGTTTTAATGTTAGGAATTTCCAGCTGCTGAAACCAACATCCACTTGACTTTGAATCAAATGCTTGGTATTGGGTTGGTATTGGGTTGCTATTGGGTTGGTATTAGGGCAGAGGGGAGACTTTATCCTTAAATAGAACTGCACTCCTGGCTGGGCCTTTTGACTCAGAGTTTCAACTTCAGACTCCTAAGGGCAGTGGTTCTCAACCTTCCTAATGCCGCGACCCTTTAATACAGCTCCTCATGTTGTGATGACCCCCCCCAACCATAAAATTATTTTCGTTGCTACTTCATAACTGTTATTTTGCTACTGTTATGAATCGTAATGTAAATATCTGATATGCAGGATGTATTTTCATTATTACGAATTGAACACAATTAAAGCATAGTGATTAATCACAAAAACAATATGTAATTATATATTCAATATGTGTTTTCCGATTGTCTTAGGCGACCCCTGTGAAAGGGTCGTTGGATCCCCAGAGGGGTCCGCTGCCTTAGGGGACTAGTGACAAAAGTGTTCTCTGAGTCTTGCTGGAGGTCTCAGTTTCACCATCTGTAAAATTGGATCGCAGGTCCCTGGCTGAGGCCCTTTGGGCTTGCTTTATTTGTGTTCTGTGAAGGGGACCTTGGGGGAGAAGGAAATCAGTAAAAAGGCCTGTTTGCCGCAAGCCTTTGTCTGTCTTGGTAGAAGCTAGTCTCTTTGTAAAATAGTGCCCCGCCCAGCTGCCTGATGGATTTTTGCAGGGCTGGGGTTTTCATCTTCTCCACGCAGGAGCAGACCAGAGAGTGGATGTCCCAACCCAGCGAGTCCCGCGTGGCCCTTGTTTGCTAAACGGCACTCTCTCCAAACTGTGCCAAAAGCAGTTCACGCTGGCGCACGCTCCTCCCCGGCCCAGGGCAGATGTTCCTATTTTGTTCCTGCCTCCCCTGCCCCCCCCCTCACCCCAGCCCCTCATATTCCTTTAACGCCTGCTGATGACTCCATGCCTGCTGCCCTTCATGCAGGACGGGCCCTTCTCTTCAGCCTCCAAATGAGAAGTGACATTTGCACTGGGCTCAGCCAGCGCGGGAGCCGAGCGCAGGGACACAGGCCCATTGACCGAGCGCGGCCGAGCGGCCGACGGGCGCGGCGGCCTCCGAAGCCGCCTTAATTAATACCATCTTAAACAGTCCAGCAGCCACTGCAGACAGAGTGGAAGAAAGACTTTCAGGCTGAGTGCCCCGCGACAAGCTCTTTTTCCCCCGTGTCACTCAATATTTAATGCGCCCGCTTCTAATGCTACTACTGGTGTTCCTTTCTCAGCAAGGACATTATGTCTTCACGGTGCCCATAGCCAGGGAAAGCCCTTTAGGCAAAGAAAATCAAAATGTTTGTTGTTTTGGATGACTTATAACTCTTGTTGAACACAAGCACTTTCAGGAAAGTATAACAGGCGCAGCCTCCAAAGCAAACAACACAGTCCTTGTGACAGAGTGGGACACAAAAAGCACATTGTCTTGCGGACTACCCCTTTTCTCTGGTGCTAGATGGGGGCCTGTCTCCGAGCGAACACCACGATGCCATTTCACTTTTGAACTATTGTTTTTGAGTTATGCCATGTGGTCAAAGGGAGCGAGAAGGGGGTTGTTTCCAGGCGCCTAAGACAAACGAGTTGCCTTTTCATGGAAATCCCCCTGCGATCCTTGAAAACGGAGTTTAAATGTCACCTCCGCCTTTCTAATGGGCACAGGGCTGGAGGCGACCCTTCAAAGCGCCTGAGTGATAAACGACCCTTATTAAATATGGCCGGGGCTGCTGGGAAAGTCCTGCGCCGGGCCAGCGCGCAGGAGAGCGCCCCTCGCTGGAGGGCCCGGGCGTAGCCGGAGCCTCCTCTGCAACGGGACTAGCTAGGCCCAGGCGGCCAGGGGTGGGGGGGCCAACCCAGACTAGGGGGTCGGG